AGGCCAGTTTACTTTAGCAATACTTACTAAATATAATATGAAAATTTATTTGATTGCTTTCGATACTCTGATATGCTTAAAGAGCCATTTAATGTTCCAGTTTTTCTTTTAAGAGCAAATTTTTGATGTGGCATGCTTTGTATTCCGAAAAAGATTTGTGCATTTTCAGCAAAAATTTTAAATTTCTATTGCGTAACTTTCATTTAGCTTGAAAAAGCGAGTGAAATTGATTCATAGCTTGGCCTCATTAGAAGCTGAACGAAGGTTGCCTTAGAGCTGATTGATGGATTGTTCAAGCAAGACCTCTATTCACTGTCTTTGACCCCGATTAAACCATGGTAATCTTTCGTCTGTCACGATAATGGCAGTTTCATTGTCAAAAACCATCATTTGTGAGAAATAAACCCAAACCCTTCTTGGCCTATGGCAAGTTAAAACTCCTTACTGACTCATCAGTTTCGCAGGGTAGTGAGCAGTCTTCTTAACACAACCCAAAAGTGGTTTGGATTTATAAAGACCGTTTATTTTTGTGTCCTATATCGAACTTGTTACACGAGTTAGTTACTCAGACTGATTTGATGTAAAGACAAAGCGATTTACCTAGTTATGTAATCGTTGGAAATAATCTTAGAAAAACCCTCTTGTTAGCCTCATCATCCTATATCTTGTTCATTAAAAACTTATCATTCCTTTTATATTTCCTAGGATCTTTTGATGGTCATTGCCTATGGACCAACGGAGGCTCGACTTCCTGCTGTCTGCCTTCTATTCCACTACTGGCCTGAACTTTATCCGTCTGTCTTCCAGGGTAATCAAACACTGCGCCCCTACAATTATGCTTGGGAAGGTGAGTGTTTCAGCCTCTTAATTTTGTAACCTTAGATATGGACATTCGTTGTGGGCACAATCCTTCGTTTCGTACTTTCTTTATATTTATTTCTGCACCCCTCTTATTCATTTCTTAAATCCCTATTTTTAATATCCTTTTGCATTTATCATTCTTAATTCGCTATTCGAAAAGCGCATTTTTGAGGAAATTAATTTCATTCATCACACAGATTTTCTCTTTCCGCCACATCCCGCCATACCCTTTATCTTCTGCCACTGACCCTTTGCGAGCAAATCATGTTTAATTTATATTTATTTCTACATTTAAAGTACTTACTATACTAATTTTAAGACCGATCTCATCAGAAGAGGACGGTGAAATGAAAGTCTTAACAATATACAAATTTTTCTATCACTTGCTACCTTTTCATAAGATCACGATATTAGTGGCCTTGATAGACCGGGAGCTCTTGCTGTATTATCATTTAAGTGGAAAATCTCCCCATTTTAAAGGGAATAAACAATGGATTAAGACATATTTTGAATGACTCTGCTCTACAAACTTTTATAGGGAAAAACCGTTATGTCTGCGATAAAATATATAACAAATGTCACATTTTCCGCTATTTTACCAGCCTGGAAGCCACAAACCTGTGAAAGGACAGATTGCCCGAACAAAACAGGCAAGGCATTCGCAATGAAGGTAATAAGTTGCCCTAATTTTTAAAAACTAAAATATTTAATTGCTTTGCATGTATACCATTATTTAAACCTATTTTATGTTTTTTGGAGAATAAAAATAATTTTGAGCGTAATAATCCCTTATGCTGATCCCAAAAGGTTTATAAGAGGTGTAGAATTTATAGGAAAATTTTGCTGTGTTCTATATCCCATAAGTGAGATTTATTCCGGGGGCTGAGATAAGACGGAATTTTATATCTCTTTTAGTTTTAGTTGTCAATTGTAATTGAAATCAATTTATTGTGGTTTTGCTTCAAAAGCAAACAAATAATAACTTGCGAATAAAAGTTGAGTTTCGAGAAATCTCTTGTTTCTTAATTATTGAGCTTACTTCCATTTCGAGGGAAAGTGTTTGGTGAAAAGATTCGTAGGTCGATTTCACAAGAAGACGATAGCAGGTTTTCTTGACCAGCTGTCGATTGGCTTTACTGGAACATTTCTGATGACGCTGTTTCCTAGGTAATCTCCTTCGATTCCGGTAAAAAGATGCTAAGATTTCGTTCGTCATATGACGAACATCATCAGAGCAAGGTATCATCATCACAACCTAATTCAAGCTAACAAGTCAGGAAAACTCACCTGCAAATCCTCAAAAAGCTGTATATACACTCTATATCTGGCCTCTGATCAGGTATAAAGGGATTTGTTTAGTTACAGTCATATGTCAACCTCGAAGCTTGTGAGTATGAGTGTGCCTGTTTGTGTTCGCTTATGCACGAAACCAGCCGTGATGGCTCAAAGTAATTAGGACAGCAAAAGTAGTGTCTAGAAGTTCTTTGACCTTGTTTTCGAAAATTGGTCATATTGGTAGGAAGACTTAGAGAAACGGACCTAGTCCGGAGTTCATTGTATGCATGATCCTTTCCAGAGTAGGACTCTGGACGTGGTACATTCCCAGACGTTTTGCCGGCATCGTCGTGCTAAGAGTGGCAAAACTCACTGACAATGCCGACTAGAATGCAGGCGAAACGTCTGGGAATGTACCACCTCCACTATCCGACTTTGGAAAGTATCACACATACAATGGATTCCGGACTATGTGCGTTCCTCTAAGTTCATACCAATATGACCAAGTTGCAAAAACAAGGTCAAACAACTTCTATACAACGAAAGGAGACTACGAC